TCTGTCAGTGATTCTTTCGAATAGAAAGTGATGTTCCATGAAAAAGGGGCTAATTCAGCTCAGAAAATCACCCGTGGAGGTGCTTTTCCTTGAGGTGGCCATCCGCACGGCCTGCACAGCGCAAGTGCTGGATACCGACTTCTCGTTTCGTTACACGGGTGGTTATTCAAAAGATGTACTCAGGGCCAGAGTTAATAAAGTTGACAATTGTTACAGCTTCATTACAGACAACCTGAAGTGAAACTAGCATTTTTATTTTGTTTTTTACTGCGAGGGTGGGGCAGTGAAGATTACAAGCCTGCTTAGTACAGAGCAGCGCCACTGCCTTGATTTACGCTGAGGCCCCAACCGTTTTACCCACCAATGCTTTTTTGCACAACTAGTGCAATATTAATCAGTAAAAAAGACAGATGTCTTAATTTATTATGAAAATCGTTTGACCTCATGGACACCTAAAAGCATCTTTGGGACTTCCAGAGGTTCCATGGAACACACCTTGAGAACTGCTGGTTAATGTGCCAGTGTTTTTCTCAGCAAATCACATTGTGTTGGCTGGGGAGAATGGAGGGGAGGTTAAGCGGGGGTTGTACATAAACATTCCCATGGAAACAATGCCCTAACCCAGTGGTCGGCAAACCACGGCTCGCAAGCCACATGCGGCTCTTTGGCCCCTTGAGTGTGGCTCTCCCACAAAATACCACGTGCGGGTGCACACGTACAGTGCGATTGAAACTTCATGGCCCATGCGCAGAAGTCGGTTTTCGGCCTGGGCGAGTCTATTTTGAAGAAGTGGCGATAGAAGAAGTGGGGGGTGTCCCTCGGGTCAGGCGAGGGGAGACGCAGTGCAGGCGGGCCGGGGAGGTGCGTGCGATTCCTGCATGAGTTGAGTGAGCCAGTCAGTCAGCAGTCTCATTGTGCAGTGGTTAGGTATGTTGAGATGGTTTGGATATATAGAGAGGATGAACGAAAGGAGATAGGCGAAACAAGTATACAAGACGAGTGTGGATGGGAGAGTTGGAAGGGGTCGACCTCAGTGAATGTACCTAAATCAGATTGAGGACGCTTTTAGCAAAGGCCAGCTTAGGAGTACCCTGATTAAGTTAATAACAATGTACCTACCTACATAGTTTAAGTTTAAAAAATTTGGTTCTCAAAAGAAATTTCAATCGTTTTACTGTTGATATTTGGCTCTGTTGACTAATGAGTTTGCCGACCACTGCCCTAACCTAATACTATTATTTTAAAGATGAAGAAATGGAAGCACAGTGAGATTTGTTCTAAGTCCTTTATCTCGATTGTGGTAGAGTCAGGATGCACTCCCAGACCTTTTAACCCACACACAGAGAACATGTAAGCCTCTGTCTAGTTAGGTCCCACGCACTGGCCACTGTGGCTCAGTTGGTTGAGCATCAACCTATGAACCAGGAGGTCACCATTTGATTCCTAGTCAGGGCACATGCCTGGTTTGCGGGCTCAATCCCCAGTAGGGGGCGTGTAGAAGGCTGCTGATCAATGACTTTCTCTCATCATTGATGTTTCTCTTTATCCCCTCTTCTTTCCTCTTTGAAATCAATAAAAACTATTTTTAAAATGTTATGTCTCTCACAGCTTCTAAATTCTTTTATAAATATCTATCAGGCTCCTATTGTGTCCCAGTTAAAATACTAGGTATTAAAGATGTAAAATCAAATGACATTTTCCTGCCCCTTGGGACTCTGTTGTCTAAGAAGCATGTGGACAGGTAAATCAAATCTTACATGTGCATTCAGAACTAAGTCAGGTAAACTTGGGAAGGCTCAGGGGCTCAGAAGGGAGACGCCTGAATCTGACTGTGGCTCTGAACAACCACTCAAGTTGGTGATTCTTAGGTTGAGTTGGGAAGGAGAAACAGAAGTTAACCAGATAAGAGGGAGTGAGGGCACTTCCTTCCCATGGAGGGAGAGTTGTGGGAAGGTTAGGAGGTAGGAAATGACATGGCCCATCTCAGGCACTTTAGATAGAATGGATAGGGGAGATGGCTGGATGAAAGTCTTGGGGAGCTGGAGGAGCCCGAGGGAGGACTGCTTAGAAAGACCATCAGTGCTTCTAAATACCAGATGGTCATGACACCAGGCCCAGCCTTCAACTGTCAGGACCTCACCAGCTATGCTTTGGTGACACACAAGTTTGTTACATGAATTGCCTAACTACCAGAAGGGAGCTCTTGAAGGAATAATTGCCCATAGCTTGGAATGGATCCATTTTCTTGGCCTGCAACTTGCTACAAGTGCTATTTATTTTCCTGTGGATTTTATGGCTCACTCCAGACTCTTAGAAACCATTGCATCAGTTTGGTAATGTTGAACAATGTAATAAGATCTATAATTTTTAATCTGTTGCTTTGTCAGATTAAATCTTAGAAGTGCTCTCCAGACCTGGGGAGTCATCTGAGACAGTGGTTAAAGATATATCAATTTCCAGACACCAGCCCAGGGCCCAGGAATCTGTATGTTTATTTTGCTTCCCAAGTTATTCTGTAACAGGCATCTGGCATTAGTTTCCTGCCCAGATATTTTGGGTCTTACTAGTTGGAACTAACTAAAGGAGAACATACATTTAATTGCTGACGATCCCAGTGAAATATTGATTTGCCACATCTCCTAATTATGTGTATATAGGACCACCTATGTGGTTAACATTTTTCATGTTACATGAAATGCACTCCTCTTTGTGTGCGCTGGAAACATCTAACTGTTTATTTCCCACATTTGTTGCTTTTTCCAACCCCTAATCTCTTCAAAATGTTTTCTGATGGTCATTTTTCTTTTCTTCCCTTCTTATCACAGGCATGGCTATCTCATTTGAAAGATACCAATTGGTTTATTTTTTTAATCTTGTTCCAAGAAACAGTTTGAATGACTGTATATGCAAGTGTGCACAGACTCTGTGGGAAGTGTCATATGCAAGATCACGAAGATCAATATACAGGGCTGGCAATCCTGTGTAACTATAACAGTCTGGGCTTGTCTGGCATTCCAGAAACATGCAACCTATATACAAACCAAAGAAATATTTGACATTAAAGTATCATCAGTTCAGCTTACAGGGAAGAAGAGGCCACCAGCCCCAGGCGAGGATGAACGTATGCTTCCACCAGGGGCCTGGGTAGTGCCACAGAGTTTGTTAGTTTCCAAGGGTTCTGGAGATGAAACACCCCTTCTGGGTACTTCAGAACACATTATGACATGTCCAGTTTAAACTTGGGTCTTGCCCATTATGTTTCTATTTTGCTCCTAGGCCCAGAAAGAGGGCATGTGTTGTCACACAGGCCCGCAGGCCCTGGGGATGTGGGTGGAGAGTGATACCAACATGGCGAGAGCACCCCACTTAAGTGAGTGATGGTGGTTAACTGAACCCCCCATCTTCCCTGGGCTACAGTCAGCTTCTCTGAAAGCTGCACCTGACGATGCTTAGAGACTCCCTGTACAGACATGGACCAAAACAGGGATTCTTGAGGTGGAGGCAAACCCAGAGAGCTTCTGGTTCAGTGATGTCCTCGTCATTATTGCGGCTCCTCCTTGCCTATGTGTGTGTGTTCCTCACTTTCTCTGAGCTCTTTCCTGTCAGTTAACCTATTTCATCCTCATCAATACTCCTGTCAGAAATGTGGGACAGGTATTATTTCCTCATTTTACAGTGAGGAAGATGAATTCCAGAAAGATCAAGGAGTGTTTAGCCCAGAAAAAAAATAAAGACAAGAATGAATAAGGATCTTCAAATATTAAAGGGCTTAATATCTGGAGGTGACTCTGCATTTCCCTGGAGGGAAGACTGGGGCCAATCAGTGAAATTGCAGTGGCAAATGCAGGCATTATATGGGCTGTGGAGCTCAGAGTCCAGATCTTTCTCTTGTCCACTGGGTGGTCCTGATAAGATGCTTAAACTTTCTGAGCATCAGTTTCCTCAACAGTAAAAAGGACAATCAGAAATAATCTGTCATCTCTTGTCCAAAGGAGATGCTCAACAAATAGAAAGTATTTTTAGGGCCCAGAAGTAGGTTTTAGTTCAACTTAAGAAAGAACTTTCTATCAAAGAGAACAGTTTATAAATGGGATATGCTGCCTTGCAGAGGAGTGAACTTCCTGTCCCTGGAAGCATTCAAGAGGCAACTGGAAGACCAACACTCAGAGATAGCATAGGGTGGAAACTGGACAATTAGGAAATTCTACAATTCTCCCATTTCTGGGATTCCATGATGTGTTCTTCTGATATGAACTCAAATGTTCTGTACTGTTTTCTAGTCTTCATTCTCTCTGCTGCCTTGGAGCCTATTCTTTCAGTCCAGAATGTTCTTCTTTGCTTACCATCCTTCAGTGTCAGTCAAATCTCCCTTTCTCAGAAAAGCATTGCCTGTGCGGCCTCCTTCCCCCTGGATTAACTAAATTGCTATTTATAGTTTAATGGTTCACACAAGGACCAAGCCAAGTGTCAAGGTTTATGACTACCAGGCTAAGCCTCTTTTCACCAGATTTGGTTAGCTGTTGCAAGACCCAAGTAACTCCTACTAACCAGACAACCACATGGTTAAAACAGTGAGATTCTCAAGCAGTGGCTCTGCCTGCTTCAGGTAACAAGGCTCCAAGACCACTGAGTTCCAAGTTCACTACCATGTATTAGGTTGTTACATGTGCCAAGCACAGCACCGCTTGCTGGAGGTTCAAAGATAAAAATATGTCCCAGTGCCCATGCTCAAGGAGCTCCATCTAGGGGGTAAGACCAAGAATCTTGACTTAAGTTGTTAAACACATGGCCTGCTGTGGGTATTTGAGAAGGGAGCTCTTGGCCAAATTGGGGTCCGGGGAAGGCTTCTTCGAGGAATTTATACCCAATCACCCCACTGTCTTACATTCCTTATGATCAGGAGCGCTCTTGCTATGTTATATCTTTCTGAGTTAGTAGATATATTCCTGGGGCAAAGCTCCGGCTGCTGGGTTTTTATTGCACCATGACTTATCTTTCAGAAATTCTGCTGAAGTGCAAGATGCCTTCATGACGTACACAGTGTATGATGACATCATCACCATTAAGCTCATCCAAGAGGCCTGCAAGATCCTGGGTGAGTATGAAATGGACCAGTTTTGGTTTCCTAGAGTTGCTGTAAGAAAGTACAATCAGTTCTCATTATTTCAAGTAGTTCTGTTCTATAAAGTCCTCAGAATACTGAATTCGCAAATATTCAACCATTGCTCTTGGAGGAAATGTAGAGCTAGGTTCCTGGGAACCTCTGCTCACAACATTTTCATCAACTGATAAATATATAACCTTGTTCTTTGTGTGTTTCTGTTTAAAACCCCTTATTTAATATATATTGATATTCATTAATATTGGACTTACAGCCAACGGTACTGTAACTCATGCCTGAATGAAGTTTATCTACTCTCCATATTTTCTTTGTAAGACACTTCACAGCCTGCTCACACTGAAGAACATTAGACAGCACTTCAGCACTATACTTGGGGCATTTGAAACAGCAGAATCACCAACAAAAAGGATATAAATGCAGGAACGTAGCACTAAATAGATTGTAAAAGAAAGGTCACTTGTTTATAGTATGAGAACTGAAATAAGAACGTAGTGAATCGCCTTATTTGACCTTAGCTAGAAACATGTGTTGGGCAACTCAAATTTTCCTCACCATGTGCATGTCCAAGAATGGCTATGAAACATCTGAGAGTACTGATTTTGGGGTTACAAATACATTGTATTAAGTAGGCAAATTTGCAAATACAGAATCTGAAAATAATGAGGATCGACTGTACCACAAACTGGATGGCTTAAAACAATGGGAATTTATTATCTCATAGTTCAGGGCACCAGAAGTCCAAAATCAGGTTGCTGGCAGGGCTGTGCTACCTCTGACGGCTCTAGGGAAGGGCCTTTCCTCTCCCAGGTCCTGGTGTTCCCAGGTGTTCCTTGTGCAGCACAACTCCAACCTCTGTGTCCATCTTCACATGGCCGTCTTCTCTCTGGGTGTTCATGTTTGTATGTCCAAACTTCCCTCTTCTTATAAAGACTCTATTTATATTGGATTCTGTGCCCATGCTAATCAAGCATGACCTCATCTTAATTTGATTACATCTACAAAGACCCAATTTCCAAATAAGGTCACATTCATAGGTTCTGGGTGGTCATGAATTTTTGAGGGACAGTATTTAACCCATCTCAGGGCTCATATATTATCCTTTCCACTTGAACAGCCTGAGGCCTCGTACAGACAAAAATTGTGAATGTCCTGAGTTTCATCATCTGCACCACCACCGTCTTGTTTGACCTTGATGTTGACTTTGACAGGTGTTGCAATACCTTTGCAATGACTAGTCATGCTTATCTCTGGGTGTCAGGAGGAACAACACTGAGAATCTTGTTATGCCAACCACACTCATGTTTATTCAGAAATGGACATGGTGTGCTTTGTAGGGGTGGAGGGCCCTTCTTCCCATCTGCTCACCCACGGAATAGCTCATCTGCCTGGACACTAAAATGCCACTGACAGGACCATAATGGGGGACCATGTGTGGATGGCCCTATTTACAATGCATGTGTAATATCAGAATGATTTCTCCCAAGAATTTATTATCAAAAGATGGCTTATTACACTAACTTGCTCACTTTCTAGGCTCTGAGGGGAAGAGGAACAGGACAAAGAGAATTTAGCTCTGCTCTTTCTAATTTAATGACCCAGGACAAGTTACTTGCTCAGTGGAAGTTTTTCATTGGTCAAATGAAAATAGTAAGGATAATATTTATCCTTCAGAGTTGTTTTGAGGATTAAATGAGGCAATGCATGTGAATATGTCAAATGTGGTATCCGGCATATAATAAGCTCTGAAAAAAATATTTTCTTCCTTCCCTTTGTATTAATTCCTAGGGCTGCCACCACAAAGTAGCACAAGCTAGGTGGCTTCAAACAACAGAAATTTATTCTCTCACAGGTGTGGGGGCAGAAGTACAAAATCAAGGTGCCATCAGGGTTGATTCCTTCTGGAGGCTCTGAGGGAGATGACTCTCTGCCAAGGACTCGCCTGGCTTCAGGTGGCCGCTGGCAATCCTAGGTTACAGATGTACTGCTCGCATCTCTGCCTCATCTTCATATAACCCTCTTTTCTGTGTCTCCACACAGCTTTCCTCTAAGAACATATCATTGGATTTAGGGCCCACCATAGTCCACTACAAACTTATCTTCATTTAAGTAGTTAGATCTGCAAAGACCCCAGTTCCAAATAAGGAAACATTTGGAGGTCCCAGATGGACATGGGTTTGGGAGAACACTATTCAGCCCGTACACCCTCCTTTCCTTTCTCCTTCCTTCTCACCAGCACTGAGCACACCTGAATGGGGCCCTGACAAGGGAAGAGGGGTGGGCAGCCTTGCTGTCCTAGGCTCTAGGGGTCTGCGTGCACAAAGCAGAGGAAGCCGCCTGGCACTTCCAGGCTCTTTGACAACATGCCACTTTCAATCCCGGTTGAAATTCTCTTGCCCATTCCTCACAGGCGGTGAGGCTTTGGGTCATGGGGAGATAGCTTTCAGGGATTATTGCAGGTGGCACTGCATCGGCATCCTTGCCTAGCACCCGGGACCGTGGGGAGAATTGTTGGAAGTTTGGGGGCGGCCGGGTGAGTAGAGCCTTCAAGCTGGTTCCTGTACAGCTTAGGGTTAGGCAGTAGGAGCTGTGGTTTCCAGCTGGTTTTCATGGTGACTCTGAGGGCCAGCAAATTGGCCTGCTGTCCTCAGGAGCAATTCCTGAGGTGGTTACAGGGTAAACCCAGCCCACCAGGGCAGCTAGCGGGAAGTCATTGAGGTTTCAGAAACTGGATGTGTGTGATCACAGATCCTCTTCAGCAAGGGGCGAGGTCCCCTGCTGTGCCAGGGTCAGCAGGCCACTCTCGTCTGCCTTGGAGCCACAGAGCCAAGCAGAGGCCAGAGGTGCCTGGAGCTATGAGAAACCTGGGGTACCAGCTGGTGATTAACTTCTGACCAGATGTGCATTAGCCCCTGGTCATTCAGCTCCTGCACTCCTAATAGAGCGGAGACAAGGCCGAGTCTGAGGCCAGAAATAAAACACAGGGAGTGAAACGTTCATTTGTTCCTTCAGCTGTGAAACTCATGCTCCGTGAACGGCAACATCTCTCAATGCCTTCGAAAGCCAGTGTGACCCTTTGAGGGAGGACACAGGCAGTTTGCAGTCAAGGCTCCTATGGCCTCCCAATCATCACAGGTTGGCATCCTCTGCCCACTCCTCCTTTCAAAGAGCCTCACAGAGAGAGTTTCCAGGAAAAAGTGAGCCAGGACCCAGGTAGTGTGCGTGGTACTTGAAAATCCCACCCCTTCCCTGGCCAGCCTGTTTGGGGGTCTCCCAGACCCCTTTGTCACCCATTCTGATGATGCTAAGGGTAGAGGGTAAGCTTGTGTGGAACCGGGGCTACCAAGCGGCAGGTGGAGACGGGATTTCATGCAGGAGTCGAACCCCAGGTGTGTGCTCTTTATAGCGCTGCGCTGCCCCAGACTAGACTCAGCTCAGCTTCTAAGTAGCAGCCTTCCTGCTACAGACGTAGCAGCACCAGAGCGTTACCTCTCGGCTCTCTGGTATTAACACACCTGCCAGAGAGTCTGCGGTTTATTTGCTTAAACATCACTTTTTAAACCTTTAAAACAGGCTATGATGTTACATATGCTTCTGATAATCCGACAGGAAGACCACTTGACCTCTCCCTTATGCTAATTTGCACTACCCGACCTGCACAAGGCCTAGCGCTGGCCCTTCTGCCGGCAGTCCTGCAGGCACGGGCACTAGTGAGAGCTGCTGGCCCACAGGGACGTCTGAATGCTGACAATTGCCTCCTTTCTTCCAGCAAAGTGGGAGGTGCACCCGACTCCTTTCCTTCCACAGGAAGAATACAAACCCTTAGATGGGAATTCTGTGCCTGAGAGGCCACTGTTGAGACTTGACCAGAAAAGCTAGAGTTTTCAGAGTTTAGATAATAGAAGAGCAATGAAACTTGGACTGGGTGATGGAAACAAACCCAACTTCAGTCTTTTCCTGATTTTATTTCTAAGAGTCCCAGCAGCGTCATGCCCCAGTTTGGCTCTGAGCCAGTTACGGATATTGTCTGTGGCTGCTTTGCATTATAACGGCAGAGTTGAGTAGTTGTGGCAGAGAGCATGTGATTGCAGAAATGAAAATTTTTGTTGTCTGCCCTTTACTGAAAATGTTTTGTCATCTTATGCTCTAGAAAATGGATCTTTAACACCCAGATCTTTTTTAAGATTTAAAAAATTTCATTTAGCTTTGGCCAATGCAGCTCAGTTGGTTGAGCATCGTCCCATGCACCAAAAAGTCTCCGGTTGGACTTCAGCCTCCTGTGAGGAATTGTGAGGAAATAAATTTCTGTTCTTAAGCCACCAGTCTAGAGTTTTGTTATAGTAGCCTGAGCAGACTTGTACAGAAATTCTTAGTTTTTAGATTTCCAGAAAGAACTGCTACATGTGCCTAATATCAAGCCCAGGCCATTTTTGTAGCTGTGTGACAGCGAGCACTGCATGGTGTGTGCAGGACCTTCAGCAGAGAGATGCCATCACATACCTGCCCTGCTGCATTCCCCGTTCCAAACCAGCCAGTACATTTAGAGGCAGCAGTGAGTTTAGAGACCAATGTTGGGCTAACCCAGATTACCTTTCTACCAAAAGCCAAAGTATATCACTGTGATTTCTCTCTGTCTAGCTGAAAATCAGAAGGGTATTTTCTTCTTGTTGTTTATCTGAATAACATGTGTTGGCTCATACCTGAAAGGGTATATAAGTATGGTGAGTGCATTTTTCAAATTAAAAGCTGGGATTCAAAATTAGGTAATTTTGTCTCCCTTATATATATAAAAGCATGCTCAGTTCGCACCCGTTGGTGCCCTGCCTTCCAAGTGGGCTCCAGGAGGCCACTTACCTACGGCCATTGCTGCAGGTTCTCCAGACGCCCACTGCACAGCTCTGTGCTTCCTAAATGGCACAGCTCAGGCTGCGACCAGATGGAGCTGGAGCACTGCATAACGAATTGTTCTGTATGTG